AGATGGCGCTACGACTAAAAATTCGTTGAAAGTCCAAGTACAAAGACAATGCAAGAACATAGAAAAATTCGTGAGGTCCGTTGGTTCGTTCCGTGGCTTAGTTGGTATAGCGTTTGGCACGGTACGCAAGAAGACGTCAGTTCGAATCCGACCGGATCGAAGGAATTTTTTCTGAGTGTTTTTCTGAGTGTTCGATCTTTGTATTAATAATTATAACAAACTAGTGGAGTAATTTCACAAAAATAATTGAATATCAATTCAATAAAAATGTAGTTATGTTTTATAATTATTATTATCATTATCAATTGACGGGACGAAGAAGTCGTGCTCTTGGTGGTCAGCAATACGCTCACAAAGATCTGAGGGGCACCGCCACTGCGTCCGTTACCATGAGACATAAATTTGATAAGTCCCATGTTCTTAGCACCCTTAATGTATAGTTTATTCGTATCGTTTCTTTGTTTTAAGTTTATTCTTAGTTTATTTGTCACCTAAGTAAGTTTAAAAGTATGTACGGAGTTGAAACCTGTTCCAATGCCGTTTGTATCCGGTATTTAATAATTTTTTATATACACGTGTGCTCATCGTAATAATAAAGTAATTTTAAGCATGTCCTTCAAGTTTAATACGTAATCTTGTGAAGTTTGACAATTGTCAGCAGCGGATGTTAAGCGGATGCTAAGTATGAAGGTGGAACCTGAAAAGCCGCATGTAGTGCTGAGGTTCCGTCCTTTTTATCGGCACTAGAGTCCACATTTCCGAAACTGTTAACTGTTAACCTTTTTATTGTAAATGTGCTTATGAATGAATGTCTTATTATTTTTATTATTGTATTTATTTTGAACTCTCGCCTCTCCCAAGGCCTATTATTATTATTATATTTATTTTAAACTCTCGCCTCTCCCAAGGCCCAAAAGATTAATTTTAAATTTTTAATTTTTTTTTAAATTTTTATTATTATTATTATTATTATATACCTTACCCGTAGCTCTGCACAAATCGTGTCTCAAGATACATTGATTCGCCATTATCTGAGCAAACGTGGCCAGCTCATTGCTCCAACGCTGAAATTAAATTTTGCTATGTTATTTGACATATTCTTCCAAAAAGATTACATAATTGCATACTTGCTATAACGAACAAGGGCTTGCTATAACCATCAAGTAGAGTAATGTTCTTCTTAGTTTTATTTACCAATTTGTTCATTCCGTAAGCTTTGGGCAGCGGTTTTTCTGTCTTTCCTGTTTCTTTTCCCTTTGCTATTTTTGATCTGACCCTACGAATAAAAATAAGCCTTACATGAATGGCTTAATAGAAATATGTCATATAATGATGCCACTAATGCTGAATTTTCATTTCTTGGCATATAATACTGGCGGGTTGGTTGCACACTCATTGCTGCTATCTGGTTTCTAGAAAACTTTCTAAAATTTACGCAACACATCATGTTTTGGTATTTTAATGATTGAGATACATTGATTCTAAGAAATTGTACTTAAATATACTTACGCATTGGAAACTTCAAGAAGCTGTGTAGCAATAGCTCTTGACATTGTAACGTTCATGGGTTGGAAACAGCGCACACCTGTTACTCTTTGCTGTAAAGACCTTGTTAATTTAAGAAGAGCATTTGACTTCACAGTTTCACTGACAGCAATTTTCATGTAACCATATTTACCGCATACATTTGTATTTGATTGCCATGACAAATTAAGGTAATTTGCGCAGAGCAAAGCAGGTCTACATAACCTACAGAATTCTTGATGGAAAAAGTTCTTGTAAGTGAAGAGTTTGCGTTTACTACGTTTTGTCGCAGGGTCAGGCGATGCTGTGATGCATTAGAATGAACTACAAGATATAACTAAAAGAACTATAAGAATTCTATAAGATAAGGCTACAATTCTTTAAACAAACGGTGAAAAAGAAGATGCATACGCGTCATAGCACTATCGGTGAGTCGACATTAAGCTGAGTGGATGACGGATTCCGTAATAGCACAGTGCACACTCCATTATTCCAACTTTAATATTTAGTTTATTTATTTAGTTAATAAGTCGAATTAATTCTTAGTAAATCTTGTGTAATTATTTGTATTGTGTGTCAAATCATATAGTGTGTATGTGTACTGTCCTGTAAATTATTAACGGAATAAACAATTTTCTTTCTTTCTTTCTTTCAATAAACGGTGCCAAGCGGTGTTGCGCTGCGCAACGCACTCTTTCCACAATGCAAGTATAATATACTCGTAGAACACATTTTCTATAGAATAAAGTATACATTTCTTTTAATGCAAAATAACAAAATAGTAAAGCCACGCGACGCATCCTGTAGTCAGCAGCTTGTACTGCCACGGCTATGCAAAGCGTACCTTTGTATCTCGACAACAAAGTACATTTCTTTGAAGGGCAGATAGGAAAGGAACAGATCTTTGTAGCTTGCTAAACTCTTGTTTTTCTTTGTAATGTAATAATAATGTTCAACGTACGGGATTGTAATACAAGCATAGGACGTGAGCTCCTTCCGGGCAACTTCCGATTGGAGGGCAGTACTTCGTCAAATACGAATCTGTGCTGCTTACGAAGTCACGGACTACAGAACATCGTGCCCTTACAAGCAGAAGAGCCCATGTTATATAAATTGCCTAAAATAAAAAAAAAATGAGATATAAACATAAATTAATCGAAGATGAACTGATTCTTAATCTGTATATGAGTGACAAATCATTATCAACGACACGATGTCATCAGGATGTGCAAAAAGCATATACGACCTTCTCAGGTTCCATTTCAGGTCTATTTCTGTTTAGTTTGTATTAAAGTTTTACCTAGCCTCCTGGAAGGTATCGAATAAAAAATAATATACTTTGCCGATGATACTTGTTTATATTATATAATAATGTGATATTAAACGATAATTTATGACGATGCGAGCAGTACTATTTTAAAGTTAGTGGATATAAATTTGTAGTTGGAGTTTAGCTATAACTAAGACGTCAAATGCTATAGGGTCCAGGAATAACCAAGTTGTCTAAACGGCTCAGCTTTAAGGTGTACGCGTCCTTAAATATACAAAAACTTCAGACGTCGAAGCTGCTGGATTAATTTATTACAGTTACTAACTAGTGTATGCCACACTATGTTATTGTAGCCCAAAAGTTATTGCCGCTACCCACGTCACTATTGTAGTGATGAGGGGATTTGCTAATAGGCGTTACGTACTCGCCGATTGTTTCCCAGGATACGCCAGACATACAGAATATATGAACGCCATTGCGAGGAGGCGGTTTTTCGTGCACTCCAGTAAGATGATGGATAAACACAAGCTCATATTAAATAAAACTTACTCTACGGAACATAATCACCGAAAATCATTATTCAAATCATTAGTGATAATCATTGCTTAAAGTACCACAATACAAAAACATTGTTAGACCGACATTTAATTTATCTTAATTGTAGATTTATTGATAAGTTAATAAGATTCTAAACATTTATTTTATCAACGTTATTATATACAGAACTATTTCTGAATCTAGACAACACGAGTTTGGAAAGAAAAAGTTTACAAAAAGAAAAAAACGTATTAAAGTCTAGATAAAATCGTTGACCATAAAAATAATCTAATATTTCAGGGAAATAAAAATAGATTGCGAATGCTAAAAAAAATTTACTTCTAACCCAAAGTCATAAAAATGACCACCATTCGGAAAAATAAGTTATAGATAACTTTTGTGCTCAAATAGGATTCACTACTGCAATGGCGTTGTTAATAACGCATAAATTTGTTCTTTGTTTACTGCATGTTTTGCAGTTTTAGTAAATAGGATACTTGTTCTACATATTTGGTATGTGATAAATTAAAAAAATGGATAATTTCTTTGTGACTAAATAAATTGGCTATGACATTTTATTTCTTAATAATCAATTATTTATAATGACATAAAATTCTTCTAAAGGTAAACGCTGAGAAAAAATTGGTAACGATATGGCAGAAATATTATTTCACAACATCCAATGCCGATCCAAACTCAAACTCATGACAGCTATCTTTACAGCTATATTCAAAAGCCATGCAGAGATCGAGCTCGATCAGGTACATAATAATCCATCTTATTGTTTCTGGCTGTTAACTTGCTAGGTTGATGTTGAAACATTTCTGGTCGCCTCAACATTTGTTCTCGTGGCTTTTGGAGGTCGTTCTGGGGTCTCATTACCGACGACTGCATTAATCGACGAGTTAGATCCCGTTGATGCTAGAACATACACGAATATATATAGGAGTTAATATGAAAGAAGAAAAATATGAAATTCAAATGTTACTAGTAATTATAGGTCATAAGGGAATCTCACAGTTTATGATTTGGGTATTGTTCATATCTACTCATCTGTTTATGACATGGGAACAAGAAAGCCTTGTTCTAGCGTTGTCATAAATCATCGAATTACAATGAGCAACAAAGAAAGAACATGAAAAAATCCAAAAGTATTAGTTTTTTAATGAGATATTATACATATTACTAAAAACGAATACTTTTGGATTTTTTATACAGGTACCTACATATATTTTTATACTTGTAAAGGAACTCCCTCGTTAGTTTTCGATTCGCAGTGCTGTTTATTTTAATTTTTAAATAAATATTCTATAAAAAAAAAACAACTCACAGTAGCATGTCGTGGGTTATCATCTATACCATGCATTTTTCGTTCTAATTTATTCAGTTTTTCCTGATAGAATCGTCTTCGATCAAAATCTAAATGTCCATCCGCATTTTCTTCGTCATAATGAGGTTTCGCTCTGACATTAGCATCATCAGTAGAATAATCAGGTAACAGTAATTTGTAATCATTATAATCTTCATTTTTATACAATGACTTGCTTTTTATATCATTGTCTGAATCAAATCGTCGATTAAGCACATTAGCTTCTTTGCCTCTGTCGTAGTCTTTCTTGTCTATATACGGTTCATGGAATTTAAAATTATCAGGTCTGTAAATTGATCTTTCCTTGTAGGTATCAGGTCTTACTCTAGACCTATCTTTAAGGTTATCAGTCCTATCAATAGGTGTCATATTATCATCACTGGAATAGAATGAATGCTTGAGTTTTTGGAAGTCCTGTTTAGTGTTTTTTCTAGATGAGTAATTCGGTTCTTCGTCAGTAATTGTTTTATAATTTGTCTCTGGTTCGCTTTGAGGTCGAGCTACCGGTGTAAGAGGATGTTGGTCTTTTACTGCGTACATCGGTGATATACGACCTTGTTTGCTTTCATATTCTTTGTCAGAAAATTGCTTTTCCATCTGCACTCTATCTTCGGTTTCAGACATTTGCTTATCAACAATTTTATTCATACTCTCTACATCGTCAGGTACTTGGTTAAAGTCTAATATAGATGTAAAATCAATATCAGGTGTTGTTTCCTGGTATGGTTTCGAATATCGATCTCCTTTTTTAGGTTTAGTCACTAAAGAACCATATATTTTTCTTAATTTTGCATCAAACAATTGCTTCTCGCTTCTATCTAATTCTATGTGTTTAACTTCTTGTTCTAAGGTGTCCAACAAATTCATCAATTTATTGTCTGATTCTTCATCGATATTTGTAATATCTGTTGGGAAGCCCTTCAGTTTCTTACTTCCCTCAAAATACCGAAATTTGTTTTTTAAAAATTTGTATTTCGAATTAGGCAATGTATTGTTTGTATAAATTCTCCGTGTTGGTGACTTGAACAGTGTTTGGCGGGGTTTGGGTTTCGCTACGATTTCATTTGGGTATTCAGTCTCTTCGTCTGAATGTTTGTTTATTGGTTCGTGAATTTTAGGTAGCTGTTTTTTGAGTGATGCGACTTTAGTTTTGAATTTTTTTAAACTTGAACTTGATTTTGGCAACGTAAATTTAGAAGCTATAGAGAAAATGCTTTTCTTTTTTCCTGCATACTTTTTTGGTTGTACTTTTGGTGGCGTGTATTTCTGAAACAAATAAATTAATAGGATGAGATAATTAATTGCCTTTAAGACAAAATGTACGCAAGAAAACAAGTAGTAGCCAAGGTTTTACTTTTGTACAAGAAAATAAAGCAAGTTTACAGCAATTTCTAAAAATAGATAATGTACCTTTTTAATTGCCGCTGCTTTTTTTAATTTCTTTTTTTCTTCAGTTTTCTTTTTTAATTTTTGAGGCGTAATGCGACGGTGAAACATCGAGGAGTAATCTACGTTAGCCATGTCATCATTTTTCTGGGAAAAATGTCGCGGCTTTACTACGACTTTTTTTGATGTTCTGCGGAAGAAGAAAAATCCAGCTCATAGAGTCACGATACAGTTTTTATTTAACAATGTATATTAATTTCCTAAAGAAAGAAAACTTCTTGCTTTTGTGACGAATATTATTATGTTTTTTAATTCCATAAAATCAAATTCGAATGGGGCTAATATTAACCTTTGAGATTCTAGGCTTCATAGTCTTTCGAACCCGAGTGGGAAAAAGCATATGGCTGAGTCTTCAGGGCATTTGAAGATAAAAGTGAAGTTATACCTTATTCTTTAGATTAAGATACTGATTATAAATAAAGTACAGTATACGTTTGAACAATTTACTCATGGCTCTCATTTTACTATTTTAGTAATTTCCTATGAAACTTACTTGTTTGGTGGTTTGTTTGGGGGTTTGATTTTCTGTTTTGGCTGAAAAAAAATAGAATTCATTCAAATTCACTTTCATGGTATATTGAAAAGTAAATTATTTTAGTATACATTTATGCATACTGTGGCAGCTAGACAGTTAAGAAGTTATCTTGACTGCTTAATTCTATTCTCATGGAACCATCTGCAAGTTATATGCATCATAAAGTTAGTGTTTCAGTAAACGTAAATTTTATAATTTTTTCATAGTATAAGTTGTTTTCTTACCTGATTATATGGAAGTATAAGTGGATGTTTAAAGGATTCTTCTAACAAATTGTTATCAGGAAATATATTGAAACTCTCTGCTGAATATTGGTCTAACATTTTTGGCATAATTAGTTCGTCGATTTCGTCTTCGTTACTAGAAATCAAAATATTTAACTGTATTGGAAGTAAACCAAAACAAAACAAGACATTAGAATTATTATTAATACAAAGATCGAACAAAAGAAAATTCTTTTGATCTGACAGGATCTGACAGGTTGCCCTAGATTGGCAAAACAAACACAGGTTATGTGTCTTGTTGGATCGGAGGTATTTTTCTTTGTGTTCGATCTCTGTATTAATACTTATAACAAACTAGAGGAGTAATTTCACAAATAAAATTAAATATCATGTTAGTCAAACATCATAATATTCATTACAAATAATATAATAAGACATTGTAGAAACAATTGTGGCTTAATGATTTTTCTTATCGCCTCTCAAGCAGAGGCCGTGGCTTCGAATCCGGACTCGCACTTTGAGTTTTTTGGAATTTAAGTGCGAAACTTAATTTGAAATTTTACAATGAGATTTTCGGTGATTGGAAACATCGTGATGAAACTTGCCCGTCGAAAAAGATTCACAACACTCAGAAGACGTGTTAAGTTCCCAAACCGCATTGGGCCAGCGTGGCGGATCATGGCCTAATCCCTTGTCTGAAAGGAGACCTGCGCTCAGCAGTTAGTACAAATGGGTTCATGATGAAAAAAGACATGAAAATAATAAAAAAAGATTTTTATATGAATTTTAGAGAGAAACAGCCGAACACACTTCCTGTTGTTTCTAAGCATGCGGAAGTTAGTACAGGTGCTAAAATATGTAAAAACTATGATTAAGTATAGGAAAAATATTTTCAATATCATTGAAACATTTGAATCAACACAGTAGATTTGTAGCAACTTAATAATGTCCGCATTACTGTGTTCCGGTTTTGAAGGGACAAGGTGCTGGTGAAATTACAGGCACATAGAACTTGTCAAGTTATTTCTCAGGGAGACGGGCGTAGCATCAGAGCTCCTCAGATCTTTGCAATTTAAGGCTCTAAGTCGCACTGCACCTGTTATGGACAGGCGTATAGCTTACCTTCACGACTTATTCGTCCTTTTACTTGATATTATAAAAAAAATCTTTCAGTATAGTTACACACTGCATCAGATTCCACCCAATGTAAATATGACACTTACTTGTAACCGCGTCGTGCAGCTTTTGGTGGCATATCTTCGACAGTGAAAATTGGCAGGAGAACTACAGCTGGTTTGCATTTTTTCCCATCACAGTATACATTTGCTGAAAACAAGCAGAAAAGACTTTTGAGCGACTATGACTTTATGACGATGGGCTGTTTTTTCACAACACTGAAAACCCTCGAGGAAATATACTTTTGCGTGGCAATCACGAATTCAGATGTATATTTACTTAGCTTATGCAGGTGCATAGAAGAAATAAATTGTTTGAGATAGGTAACTAGCGATAACATTGTAGAAATATATTTATGTGCAAGAAGCACCGCACCTCTGAATAAATTTTCTCCTTTTGAATAATATTTTTGCTTCGTTTTAATCGATGGATGTTTTGTAGTTTTCCTTAACAAAAGTTTTAGTTTCCATCATTACCAGCTCCTTCTTCACGGATTTAACTTATAACGGATAACTTATTGTCTTTTTTAAACGACTTCAAAAAAAGGAGGAGGTTATCAAATCGACTGTGGTCTTTTTTTTGTATGTACGTTACGCGATAACTTTTTGGCAGGCATTTGTGAACCGATTTTGATAATTCTTTCTTTTGGAAGGAAGGTACCTCAATCGTGGTCCCATTTAAATTTGAAGAAAATATTCCACCTCTAATGGTGGCAAACAAAGGGATGAATGACTTTTGAGGTTGGTTTTTTTAGTTACAGAGTACTAGTTAGTAGTACTGTTTTTATGTGTAATAGTATTTTGGTACTTTTATTCTGTGCAAATGTAGGTTGTCCAATATAAACATAAAATTACATGGAAACAGTAATGTTTTTACCTTTGGAAGTAACATTCTCACAAAGGCAGGCGTTGTCCTCATCAAAACCTGGTGGGCAACCGCAGCGGACAGTATATCCAGGTTTGTCGGGCGGGTTGATGTCGTAGACAGGTCCCCCTGGCTTTGGGCGCGCCGAGAAGTTGCAGATTATTTGGACTGACTGTGTAGAATTGTATTGTATAAAAATATAGAACTAAATAGGTACTGATTAAAGGTAGTAACAAGTACTGAAACAATCAATCGATGTTTAATCACATCGATATAACCAGACTTGTTAAAGATAGGCGTTATAAGACCGATATACAAAAAAGGGAAACGCGATGACTACAATTACAGACCTATATACTACTATATACTCTTGCGCACAGACAAAATTATAGAACGATATATAATTAATCAATTGAACAATTATTTAACTAGATATTATATTATTAATACAAAACAATATGGATCTCAGAAAAAACAAAAGCACAACACAGCTTCTAAGTTCTTTTTCTAATTGAGTAAACAATTATTTAGACAAAAAATGCATGTGCTTGTAATATTCATTGGTTTTAGTAAGATGTTCGATGTGTTGAAATATGAAAAACTTTATTGCAGGCTTTCGAGGGCAGGCATTAGAATTGTTTAAAAACTGTCATTCCAGCTGATACACGACAGTAAAAATAGCAAATGATCTTAGTAACTTAGCACCAACTAAACAAGGCACATCCCAGGGTTTTTTGGGCCTACCGAATATTTACTTTATGTGAATGACATGTCTAATGCCATTAAAAAGGGTTCTGAATACCAGTTCGCTGATGACGCTTGTCTTTTAGTAGCCAATAAGAAGTTATATGTGTTACAGACTGATATGCAAGAGGATTTTAATCGATTATGTAAATGAGCCCACGACGTAGGGTTAGTAGTAAATGCACAAAAAACAAAACTTGTACATATACACTCGTCACACAATAAAGCACCTGATAAACCGACTACCATTTGAAGTTGTAGAAACTCACATGTATATTGGCCTTGTTATCGATAGCAGATTTAGTTGGGGACCACACAAAGATCATGTACTCCTATGTGCAAAATTAAGATCTATTTTAGGCAAACTATCAATACTTATATATAATAGCTTAGGAAATGAAACTATTTTTCCGGATTAAAATCGCGTATATTTTTTTTTTTCAAACAAACCAACGTTTTGGGCCCTTTACTTTTTCCTTATTAAACTTTAAGGTTGATCTCATCGAGTATACATATAACCAGAAATAGAGACGAAATGTCATTTAATTTGTTTGAAAACTACTCAGCCATATCATTACTGTGACAACTGCGCCCCGATTGGCTAGCCCGAATTCGAAACAATTGACGGGTATCGTCAATGGGTGTCGTCAACTGTTTCACTTCAAATCGACCAGTTAACTTGAACTTTGCTATAATGGACGAAAATTGCAATATTACATATTTAATTACCGCTTAAATGTGCTTCGTTTGTTTTGTAATTAGATGTTTTGCTGTTTTTCCCACACTACCGAATAAAACAGCACGGCATTGTTAGAGATATTATCTTTATTATAATAAATACAGAATATTTTTTGGAATATACAGAGACGTACACACAGGTCCGTAGTTGGCCTGTCTATATTTCAGTGCAAACGAGAGTTGATATTTGTAAGAGCTGTATCGCTAATGTGTTACCAGGAATATATGGCCCTTATTTCGTCTCTATTTCTGGTTATATACTCGATGGTTGACGTATATGGCCCTAGCTGACTGTGTAATTGGTTACGGTTTAAGCAGTACTATACCATAAACCATAGTTTGACATATAACGCATACCTGAAAGACATTTATAACTTGCAACTAAGAATTGTAAGATCTATTTTTCTAAACTATATTATAACTAGATATAGAGATAATGATACTGGTTTGTTCCGTTATTGTACAGTAATGAGTATTTATGATAAAGTCAAGTTGTCTATTTTAACTGAATTTAATTATGTACAAAATTTAATTGTATACCAGAGACCAAACAATTCAAGAATCTTAAATACTAAAAAATATGTACTCCCTAAAACGGATAATGTGTACGGTACTCGGAAATAAGATTCAGTAATTCTTAAATTACTGAATGAATTGCCTGGGTTGCAAGATTTATATGGAAGGATATACCCGCAGTGGTTTTTAGAGCCATTGCTGCATGTAGAATAAGAGTGTATAATAGCCTTAAGTTTATTAATAATAAAAAAAAGATACCAAATATTTTAAACATTAAAAATGTTTTTATATTGTTATTTACCTAACTGATTTACTGTAATATCATTTTTCTTATATTACGAATACGAGAGTTAGGATTTTTTGTGTTTTCAATCACGATTTAGCAGAAAGAAGTTTAGTAGGTAGATGTTGTGTATTCGGGATAAGCAAATAAAGATCTTTTCGATCGATAGAGGATGCCAAGATCGAAGATAAGGTAATAAGGAAATCGAAACTCACGTTATAAATAAGATTGGCATTGTTATCATGGTACGCGTACTCTGTATATCCAATAATTCCGCAACCCATGTAAGTAGCTTTCGCGTATACCATCTGAAGGTACAGCTTACCGCCACCAGCCACCCTTGATTAACAGAAATTAAGGAAAAGTCATCATTATTACATTCACTTAGTGCGTATCGATTCATGTGCTTTCAACTTTGAAAGAGCAACGTATTTAATGTGTAGGGAATACTGTATTACAACACCTTTTGAACTGCATTATCAGGTAAATTTTACTATTTTTATGTTATTGGCAGTAAGTTTAATTTTTATTTTAATTTTTCAGGCTTTTTTATGCCACTGCTTGACAAAGGTCTCCCTTCTCTTGTTCCACTGGCATCTAGCGCGTCACGCCATCTTCTTCTGGGTCTTCACGTCTTCGTCTTGCGTTTAGAGGGATTCAATACGTGCTGGTTTTTGAGCCAGTTCTATTTCAGGTACTGACAAACGCTTGGCGACAATGTTACGTGTTTTTCTAATAAATGCTGTTCATGTTAACGTTGAAAAGCCCCGAATTATAGTTTTCGGGAAACGCAGGTGGTACGTCGCGAGACTCCGTTCACACACCCAAGACTCCACTAACCCCTTATCCAACTCATATACAGTATTTAGACATTGCTACTTGTTATTCCGTTATACTTACATTACTACTCTGTTTTGTTATTGTAGTTTTTAATGAGCATAATAATATGAGAATGAGAATAATGGGCGTAATAATATGAGAATGTGATATCCCGCGCTATTGCTAACCTACCATAAATTATAACTTTATTTCTTATTGACCCTATATGAGTTATAGGTAATTATTAATACAAAGATCGAACACTGACAAAAATCCTTCAATCTGGCTGGATTCGAACCAGCGCAGCGCCTTTAGCATACCTATGTATGCCTGACGCTCTCTCAACTCGAAATTTTCTATATTATTTTCTGCTTGTTGCAGATTTTTGTTTTTGGTTAGACTTCATGAGTTGAGTCCCATACGAGTTGTTTTTTTTATAAATCACGCTTGTTTTTGTATTTGTTAAGGATGTCATTTGTAACTTCATTGCGGGCCAAATGTTCACTCAAATCCTAAAATTTTTTACCGATCGAAATCTGGATGCGTGTCAATTAACTCTGGAGTGACATAATCCTTATGATTGTACCAGGACCTCAGAGCTTGCGTAACAGCGTACATTAGTTTTGGTTGGATGAGACCTTTAGTTTTGAATTTAGCACCGGCCGATACTGGTAACCAATCAGGGTGCGTAAATCTGACGAGGCCTGCTGATTGGCCGGGATCTGAGAAAGTTTCTGAAAATAGTAGAATTAGTTTTATAATTTCGCTTTAAGCAAATGTTATATTTGAATAGTTTTCATGAGATTTATAATAATATGTGACACTTAGTGAATTAATTGTTAACCATGCTAATATAACATTCTTCATCTACTTAAACTAAATTACGTAAGATGGCGGTAAGAGAGAGATATATTGTCAAATGCAACGTTATACCTATTACTAAATAAATTTTCCATAGTCTACGACTGAACATGGGTGCTAACAAAAAAGTTGGTTCAGCCAGAATCGCCAAGATTACGCGCTATTACTACGTCCATAAATTTGGGCAAAATCTAAGCGCTTTTTGGGTAATTTAATACAACTTAAAGGACATTGCGAATGTTTTTTCGGATAAAATGTAAAATGTGTGTGTGTGTGAGTTTTAGGTTCTTCGTTACAGTTCGAAACGTGTTAGAGCTCACGATACGCTTTTAAAACTCAGCGCGTGAACATGCCCTGTCTGCGCTTGTGATTTTAAATTGGTGGATTTTCTATAGAATTTTTTTCAAATAAAAAGTGCATATAAGGTATGCCAATAAAAGTGAACGGTGAGTGGTATAAAGTAAGAAAAGTGTAAGGCGACTTCGCAAACTTACTTGACGCTCGACATAAGTCGTGCCTCAAAATGCATTGGTTAGCCATAACTTGAGCGAACGTAGCCAGTTCATTGTCCCATTTCTGAAATAGTATTATTTAATCTTGAAGGCTCCATAAAACAGATGGACTTCGTAATTGAATTGTACACCAATAATTTGTGAAACATACCAATTTGTTCATACCGTAAGCTCTTGGAAGTGGTGCCTGTTGCTTTCCTGTCTCTTTGCCTAAAGCTATTTTACTTCTGATGCTGCAAAATAAAAATAAAAATTCTGATTTTCTGTTAAGCAATCGTCCGTTATGAGCGGTATCTGCGGGGATAATAATAATATTTATTCACATAAATATATTTGGCGGTACATGGTTAAACTAATCACGTAGTAATGCCTCTACGCGTAGGAAGCTCTGTGAGACACTGGATATATCTCGGAATGATAGTTTCTTCTGATCGCTCCTTGGTGGAATCTCGCAGTGTGTACTCATAGTGGTGCGAAATAAATACAGTTGTCTAACAGTAAGGACTTTAGCTAATTTGTACAAATCGCAAGTCCCCTATAGTGTTTATGGTATATCATCTTTAGCACAGCTCAAAATGAGGATAAAAATGTTCATGATAGTTAAAATTCAACTCTTGTGCCTTACAGAGAGAAAGTAGTCACTAGTTACAAATATCCTCCTCTGCAGACCCTGGGAGAACCAAGCTATATTACTCACGCATTTGTAATGTCAAGTATTAACTGTGCCAGTTCTCCGGTCATTGTAATATTCATGGGCTGATAACAACGTGGTCCTGTAATTTTGCCCTGAAAAATATATTCTCAATAAATGTCTTGAAGAAAAAAAGATCCTTGTTTAATATGAGCACTACTAGTGGCGCCACCACCTCTTATGTAATTATACCATAAATTTCCTCTGTTTGAAGTCGTGGTAGCCTAATGGTTTGACCTACAGCCTCTCAAGTATAGGCCGTGGGTTCGAATCCGGTCTCGCATCTTTGAGTTTCTCGGAATTTATGTGCGAAATTTAATTTGAAATTTACCATGAGCTTTTCGGTGGAGGAAAACATCGTGATGAAACCTGCACGTTGAAGAAGGTTCACAGCCCTCGGAAAACGTGTGAAGCCCCCAACCCGCATTGGGCCATGATGTCTGACTATGGCCTAAATCCTCGCCTGAGAGGACCCCTGGCCAGCAGTGATACGTATAAATGGATTGATAATCTCCTGTGTCTGCATATTTGCAGCAATAAAGAGTGACAACACTTGCTTATAAAGGGGCGCTCTTGTTCCCAACACTTCAAATGTTGAACCGAGGTAAAGTAGTGTGTGTCAGCTTACGTCATTATTGTGATTAATAACTCCCCTTTTACACGTGGCGAACACTTTTGATTTGGTCAATTTTAGACTGAATAAAGGACTGTCTTTCTGTACTTATACTTATTGTAGTAAAGAAATAAAAAACCGCGATGAAACAATTTAATACTTATGTAATATTCATTTTATTGAATATCATGTTTTTATTGCCATATTCATATTTTTTGTGAAAATACTCCATTAGTTCGATGTATTTACTTATGGATATAAAGATCGAACAAACACAAAGAAAAATTCCTTGATTCTGGGTGAATTCGAATCAGCACCTGTTTGCCAGATCGGGGCTAGACGCTCTCCCAACTCTACGAAATGAATCAGTATACCTCACGAATTTCTTTGTGCCTATTGCCGATCTTCATTGACAATGCCGATCTTTGTTTTATATTTAAACGGCTTTTTTGCCGTAGCGCCATCTGTGCGAAACATATGGTTTTTTCTTCACTCAGTCAGTCAGTTGACAAGAGATATCGCTTCATTAATTGCAATATTTATTTTATTTGTATCAATAATAATTTAATATGCATTTGCACATCTTTAGTAGCAGTAGAGCTCTTTGTGAAAGAGTTCGTCCAAAGAAGTACTGTCACCTTACACCTATTTCTGCCGTCAAGCAGTCATGTGAGCATTACTGCGTTCCAATTTTGACGGGTAAGGGTACTTGCTGGTAAAATTACAGGCACACGGGACTTGTCAACTTATGTCTCACGGTGACACGTCTCAGAACTTTGCGACTTAAAGCGCTGAATGGCACTGCAACTGTTATGAACAGGCATGTCGCTTAACACTAGGCGCACGACTTGTCCGTCCCATCACTTTATATAATTCATAAAAACCTACCTTTTGAATTGTTTAATCGCGATTTTTCCCGTTTCAAAATATTAGTATTATGCAACGCCAAAGTTTAAAAGTGTTCCACTTAAGAGCTCAGAAAAAATGAGATTTAGGCATAGGTATGTAATTTAATAAAGATGAAACAACTTACAGGCGTATAGTACATGCATAAAACATGTGATCCTTCCGGGCATGTTGCAAGGCCTGGGCAGTATTCCTCCAAATATATGCCTTTTGGTTCGTTTGCGTCTCGCACTTTAGAGCAGTTAATGCTTAGCAAAATAATAGCCCAGAAAAAGGAGAATGTCTGGAAACAAAGACTTGTTACATTACATATTTAGTATCAATTAGCCTGGTTCGAAGAATGGTTCTGGATCTACTGCAACCAAAAGATAGACCATAGACATAGACATTAGCGTATGGCATTCATTTTAGTAGAGGTCACTAAATTTAACCCTTTCGTGGATAATGGTGTTTATTAAAATTATTAAATATTAGAATACGACAGTACGGGGTACCCAGTTTCGCTATAAAAAGGATCTCAGAAACCAATTACAGACTTTACAGTCCCTTTCCAGTACTTTCTATGTAGTTGCCACTTACTGTTTCTTCATAGAGAAGTATCAATATTGTACTGACAAAATTTAATGATATACACGTACACATTTGTAAATGTTACATTAAAACTGTACAGTGGACACCGACGTCTTTGTAGGAGGTGATACCAGTACATGTCAGTACTACTGAACTTTCTAACAGCAAAAGTTTTAAGTTTTACCCAAATTTTGTTCTCTAAAATGCACATAAAAAGAGAAGGGAATTATGGTCGGAGACAAAAGACTAACCAATCTCCGTTTCGCCGACGACATCGTGGTATTCTCCTTTTCTGCTGCAGAGCTTGGTGAAATGATCAACCAACTTAACAACGCAAGCCTCGGGGCGGACTGAGGATGAATAAATCGAAGACCAAGATTATGACTAACAGCACGCAACACAGTGTGAATGTGGGAGGTTTGGGGTTTGAGTACGTCTAGGAGTACGTTTATCTTGACCAAATAGTCTTTTTCGTACAGGCAATAATAGTAAAACAGGTTGCCCGACACACGGAAAATGCCTGGAGAAGTTTTTTGTTCAACGAAAGACCAGATGAAGGGAAAATTACCACTATCCCTCAAAAGAAAGCTCATGGGCGTGCGCATTCTTCTCGTCATTACTTACGGTGCCCAAATTTGGTCGTATACAAATCGCCAGAAGTTCGCATAAGGGGTAAGTGCATATCTTGTAAGTAAAACTGACAGACCGCGTGCGAAACAACATACTGCTTACCAAAACACAAATCGTTGACGTTGGTCAGAAAGCCGCGAGTTTAAAATGGAACAGGGCCAGACACGTCTGTCGCATGTCAAACGAGCTGTGGGCAAATACCACCACGGAGTGGATCCCACCAAACGCAAGACGAAGCCGTGGAATACCCAGAACGAGATGGCGTGACGAATTGGACGCGAATAAAAGGCCTGCCGTTAGCGTTAAATCACGAAGAGTAGAAAGAGGGAAGGGTGGCCTTTGCCCTGCAGTGGGACAGTAAGGGCTGAAAAATGAATTAAAATGTTGATATTTTTAGAACCAACTTAAAATATGACACAATGGCATTTATCTTGCTATTGACTGTCATAGCCGTAATTTCTTGTATACAAGAATGTTGACGGGATCAGCCGTCAATGACAACGCGTAATTATTATATTGAATCAAAATAAGCCTTACGGCACAAAGGACAGTAGTGACCTTTTAAAATGAGGTACTGTTTAAGTACGGTCCATAAACGGGTTAAGTACCTTGGGCACTTGGTCACTGAGTCCTTTAAAGAAAACAATGACGTGAGAGAGAGAGAAAGAGAGAGAGCGTAGAGCGCTGCAGTGCAGGGCAATATTTTGGCTCGTAGGTTTGAAAGGTGTACTAACAACGTAAAGTTCAATTTATATTGCGGCGATACGGAGTGAAAGCGAATTTTGTAACGATATTGTACATAGCAATGAACTTTAAGGTCATTGTGTAACGTACAAACTAGATACGAGTCAAAAACAATGCGGAATGCGCATGGGACTTCTCTACTTAGGTCTCAGGTTGACGGCCGCAGTGGCAGTACCTCTTGTAACTGTTATGGGCAGGCGAGTCGCTTACCACCACGAGCACGACTTGCTTGTGCCGTCACTTGGTATCGTAAAAAAAAAATTCCAGAGCTTACATGTTACTTTTCAAATTTGTGACTGCGACTCAGTTATGTTCATACACGATGTGTTCAATTTCACTTACCTCGTGAATCATTTTCAGGACAGTTCTTATCATCTTTGGCACATACTTAGTTTAATGTATACACAATAGAAGAATTTATGTATTCGGTCTGGTATTTCACTTTGTACACACGTTATTAGTTTCCATCTGTCACATAATTATCGCATAATTTATATTAAATTTAACGTTAGATGACTTATTCATTGAAAACTGATTAACAAATTCGGAAACTGTGTCAAGAAAAATGTATGCTACCAGGTAACAATGGTTGCAGTACGTTACGAAAAAAAGATAGAAAAGTTTAAAATCAACAAGTTTCGAATAAAGTAGGACATAAAAGAGGCCTGCAAATTAATAGAGAGAAACAGGGTGTCCATCAAAATTAGTAAGTAGGTCTATAAGGACACTACACGAAAATTTCGTTATATTGATCTTTCTTACTTTAGGTGTATATAACATATTATTAAGTTTGTTGAATATCACGAATAACAAAAACAAAGACCCGCAACAAGCACATAAAAAAATACGTAAGGGCTGCTGGTTCGTTCAGTAGTCCAGTTGGAAAAGATGGAGCCACGGTATGGGAAGGCGCTGGTTGGAATCCAATGAACTTTTCTCCGTGTCCGATTTTGGTATTAATAATTATAAAACATATTTCTTAGTTTTTGAGGTACAGCTATAGAAATTAACACTGATTTGTAACAAGGACACGTACTAAAGCGAAACCATGTAAGATGAACAGGTTCAAAGTAGACAAATCGTTAGGCAGCATTCTTAATGCATAAGGTCACAATTAATTGAAAGTCAAAGTTTGTTTTCTAGAAGTTAAACTGAGTTATGTACTTTCAAACAGGCGATCCCTAGTTTTAACTTTCACATAGAGCGGTAAGCTTCGTTAAGCGGTAAGAACACAGTGTATGATGATTGAAGAGTTTTTTAATATTTATCAAGACAGTTATATATGTATAATCTAAGAACTCTGCATATGTGTTTTTCTGTAGGAGTAATTTTCGATATGTTTCGCGATCATTGTTTGTTTTTGTGTGTGGTAAGCACATGAGTCAATAGTCTACTAAAATTCATATAACGTCATATAAAGTACAGCTCTAAGTCAACCCCATAGGAGTTCAACAAGCTACGGTTCTGTGTTACACACTTTTTTATACCGAAAATTTATCCTATAAAGTAAGTAAACAGCAGACACTGCAATTCAAAGTTTACACGAACTAATTGTATAGACAAAACACTACCTTCGTACACTGAAATGTTTACAAACTGTCTACTATGCACAAATAAAAGTGTGACTATGAGACCTCCGTCGACGGTAAACTTTTTTGAAACACTGAATTAAGACGTTTTGGCAATAGGGATGGGAAATTAAAGAAAAAATTGAAATTCTGATATTTATAGTGCTTATGATGATGTTTGTAGTGAAATTAATCCTACAATCCCCAGGATCAATAATAAGTCCACATTTGTAAGTATTTTATTTTTTTAACCGGCTTAAAAAAGAAGGAGTTTCTCAATTCGGCTGTATTTTTTTTATATGTATGTTACGTGATAACTTCGCATTTGTGAACCGATTTTGATGATTCTTTTTGTTGGAAATTTCAATTCCCATTTGGTTTTGCGCAATAATTCCTTCAAAGTACCAATTTGAAGGAAATATTAGCAAAACCTGGAAAACCGTAAAAAATGCCTTATTTTGCAACTTCGGAGTGCAAAAATAATAATCGCACTTGTGATATTATTTATAGTGGTGTTTCATATCATCGTTAAGTCTTATTCTGTTTAATTTAAAAAATTCTCAATTTTCTGTTTATCGTAATAACTTGTTACAAGAAATGAAAAAATATATAATTAAAGTTAACATCTCAATTTTGTCGTCGGTCGGCTATTGACCGCTAGATGGCAGCAAATCAAAACGTCGAGACTTGCAATAATAAGTATAGAACTTTCAATGGTATATTATGCTAATTGGGTAAAGTTTAAATTATATTGACAGTCCAGAATTTGTTATTTCTTTTTAAATTTGAAACTAAGATCAATCATTATAAAGAGTTCATATATGTAAATGTGCGAGTTTTGGTGACAACGGTATTTTTTCTTCCGTGGGCAAGACATTCTATTCGTTATTTCCCATCTCTATTTTCTACGAACAATAGTGTTTTGAAATGCAATAGCGATAAAATGTTCGCATAGTTCATAAAAGTTAAATCTTACAAATTATGGTTCCATTAGTGTTTCCCCCGACCAAATGTATTAGTAAGTAATAATGTTCCTATTGTTATTTGTTAGTATAGTATTAAAAATAACTTCCACCATAGGCGCCAGCGTCACTGCTCAGGTGAGCTTTATTACTACATAAATCTACTACAAAATACAATATTTCTATTTTTGTATAATTTTATAATTTGAATTTGAAAATGAAATTGACAAAAAAAAAGACGTTGTGTTAAAAAAAAATCATTCAAAAAATCAGATTTTCAGAAATTAGCAAAAACGTGCTTGATCCCTTAACACTTTTGATGAGTGTATTTGCCACGTTTTATTGAAATCGGTTATCGGAAAGTGGGTGAAATCTAATAAACTGGATTCGTCCTCTAATTTGCCATCCTTCTAGATGGAATATTTTCTTCAAATTTGAATCAGACCTTTAATAAGGTACTCCCTTTCTAATAAAAAAGGATCCTCGAAATCGGCTCACAAATGGCAGAATAATCGGCGTAACATGCATACAAAATATAATATAGTTGAATTGAAAACCTCCTCCTTTTCTTAAGTCAGTTAAAAATTAAAAATCTCAATCAGATTATTCCAATAGTTAAATGACGCATTTTCATAATTCATATAATTGATACAAAGTTACTATTTTAGTTGAAAGGTAATATTGGTTTTGAATGATAAACATTAAAAATAACTAGAAAACGCTTTTATCCATCATACGAAGATTTTTTAAAGAAATTCTACGAAGATAAGATATTTACATTAATAATAAATTTCTCCACTTAACCATGCTAAACAAAATCTTATACTCGCACTAATCTTATTAGTGATCTTGTTATGCTAAATGTTAATAAATGACTATTTTCTTTGCCGGTTTTGTGTTATAAAACAATTTTCAATAAATTTTTTTCAGGGAATATTGCCAGAACACGCCAAAAATGAGGCACATAAGGTGTTGCACAGTTTGCACTTGTCTAAATCGGTGAGATGGGTTATTTTAATTAAGCGAGTATTTGTAGAGATGCTACAGAGCGCCCAGATTTATATAGCGTTTTGTCCATTTTTCCAATAGCATATCTTTAGAGCATACTATTTCTCTTTAAAAGAAAATAAATATATAACAGTCAATTAAAAAGATTCATATGTTAGAACTTTATGTTACAGGTCAACAGCTCTTACACCTTTATTGACAAACCAGACAATGTCGTTCGAATTCCAGACGTTGACAACCAAATGGTGCAGTCAAAACTGGCAACGAAACGCAAATACAAGAAATCTCCAAGACGAACGGTGCAAAAAATTATTAAAAAGGTAAGAAAGGCAAAAAAAGCTTTAAATCAACTGACGAGTGTACCAACTACTGAAATTCCTTATGAAGATAAACAAGAACAGCAACAACTAGATGAAGTCCAAACTACACAAGCCGTACCTAAGAAAAAGGCGAAAAAATGGAAGGGAAAGATAGCAAGGTACCCAATGCCCTTTCAAAAGTTACAATCTTTTAGAAGGGATACTCTAAGCACCCATCACAGATTCCGAAGAAACGATGATGACCAGAGAAAGTTGTATATCCTACAAGATTTTGATGAAATTAGATTTATGGGCAATAAAAATGGTAATACAGCTGTCAAAGCTCACGTTAAAAAGTATTGGTAACTTTGCAGCAGCAAATAATTTTAATATAATTATTTTCTTAGGATTTTGAATGATTTGAATGGGAGAATAGATATTTTTTACAACAATTATAATAATGGATAGTCGATAAATAAATAATGATGGTTTTAAGTTAGCAGCTACGAAAAGGTCAAAGAGGTGGCTGTGAGAAATAGAGTGGGCTACACCGACAATAGCATGACGCTTAAATAGGATAATGAATAATGCTTTTATATAAAAAGGGAAGCTAATTAAGACAAAGCCCATTACAAAACTAAGTAAAAAGAGATACTATTAAGTTGACTATTGTAGAACTATCATAAATTGTGCAATCGTTAATAGTAATTATACAATTACAATACTATAAGTTAGATAGACAGAAAACTCGTTATTTGCTGAATCACAGCACTTTGAGTGATAAAAGAAGAAGGTTTGTGGGTATAGTCTGGAGTGTTATATGGGGTGGAGAGTTGAGTGTACTGTATCAGCATAAAGGCCTAACTCAGCATCAACTACGACAATGATGATTCTGCCAGGTCCTAAGGTGAGCCGGTAATATGGCTGTAATCAGGTTTGCAATGCTATGCATATTGACGTGAATTGTTAGTAGAATTCGTTAAATTTAGGTTACTTTAACAGTAAAGAAACATACTTAATGTTAAAAAGTCATGGACATTCCCAATGAATACAACAAATATAAGTATGTATATCAGGGCGTAGTCGTTAAGTGTGCCCAGGCGTTTATTCCGTTAATAAAAAATGTATCAAAAACTTTTAAACTGATATCGAAATACCTAGTGCCTAAAACGACAACTATAACTTTTTTAAAATAAAACTAAAAATATCCACAAAAAGCTCCTATACATAAAAAATGTCAGAAGAAAGGTTCAGTTTTTAACAATTGCTTTGAATACATAATTTTGTACTTACTTAATAATAATAATAATAATAATAATAATAATAATAATAATTTATTTGTACATAAAAAGAACGTGTTACATGTGTTATAATTAAAATTAAGACAAGTTTGTACATATAAGTCTAAATAGGTCGATATTTCCCACCCCTGAACTAGGTAGTTACCTGTGTCTCAGGGGTTTGAGTTCGGCTCAAAAGTCAATACAGTGAGGTTCGGACAGAGTAACAGTTCCGTCTTAAATAAAAATGAGAATGAAAAGAAAAAACAATAATCAGACTCGTTATACATATTTTAAGCAAAAATAAAAACGTTGTAAAAAGAAAAAGATATATAATATAACTAATTTAAAATTTAAAGAATAATGTGATGTAGTATGTAACTAAAATGACTTTATAACACATATTACGTGATGCGTCTGTAAAATTACTTAAAAGAACTAAAGGTTAAAAGTTAAAAGTTAGAACTGGAAACTTTGCACTGTTTTTAACAGTCAAAAAAGGGTTGAGAGGAGATTTTCCGTATAGTCATACGTAAGATTTTGCAACCAATTTTGTACCTTAATTTTGACATTATATTTTGTAAGGGTGTAAATGGAGACTAATTTGTTTACATTATTGTAAAGGCGCGATCCCTGTGCAGCAGCCTGTCGATGGGCAAACGAAGTGCGGCAAGAAACTATCCTACTGACTGGGTGGCCCTGACGTTTCTGTACAAGAGAGTGATCCAGTGGCAAAGAAGAGTGTTGGCGCAATATTGTGCGAAGGATATATAATTGTCTAACCGTTAGCAGCCCCAAATCAGAGTACAGTTCGATAGTTGGATGATCCCTTCTTTTAAAGAGCATTACCTTCAGGATTGCTCGCTGGGCACGTTCCGCACATATTAGGGAAGTTTTGTGGGTCCCCCCCCCATACAGGGATGCAATACGTAATAACCGACTGACACAGGCTTTGATAGACTAGAGTCAGCGTTTCAGGTGGAGCAGAGTGTCTGAGTTCTTTAAAGATGTGAATTAACCTACGGAGACGCGTGCAAAGTGCCTCAATATGGGAGCTCCAGTCAAGCTTCTGATCCACGATAACGCCAAGGTATCTGATACTAGGAGCTATGGACAATGCAGTGCAACAACATTTGGCGGGAAATGTCGAACAGGTATGAGCTCTCACGGTATCAGTTTCCATAGAAGGCATTTGAGAATTTGGTAAAGAGAAACGGATGACCTTGGATTTTTCAATATTCAGTGTCAGTTTGTTAATGGAGAGGCATTCCATTACCTTCAAAAGCGAGTACTCCGCATTTATCTTAGCCTTTTCCCAAGAAGTATCATACACCAGAAGGGCAGTATCATCTGCGTAGGTGAATATATCACAGTTGGGAATTGAGATTTGACCCAGCTCGTTAATGTATACGAGAAAGAGTGTGGGGCCAAGTATACTTCCTTGTGGGACCCCGCAGGAAAGAACCTCATCGCTGCTGTAGTGAGAGTTGATTTTGACGCATTGGGTGCGATTTGATAGGTAGTCCTTCAAAATATCAAGAGATTGACCGCGGATTCCGATGCTCTCCAACTTCGTTATCAGGGTAGGAATAGAGACAGTGTCGAAAGCTTTCGAAAGGTCTAAAAAGATACCGTAACATTTCATTTTGTTATCTAATCTATGAACAAGGGTATTTACGAAAGCAATCACCGCGTCCTCAGTAGATATTCCCGTTCTGAAGCCGAATTGGTTAGGTGCAATTATTTTATTTTTGTTAAGGTAAGATATTAGCCGGTTATTTAGGATTTTTTCCAAAATTTTAGACAAAGAATTGAGTATCGAGATTGGTCTGTAATTTGTGACACTGGCTCTATCCCCACCCTTAAAAATGGGATGTACAACAGCTTTTTTAAAAACGTCAGGGAAGGAACCAGTGTTGATTGCAAGATTACATATATGGGTAATTGGAAGTGACAGGGCATTTTTAGCCTGTTTGATGACCTTCGCAGGAATATTGTCCCAGCCGGTTGCACAGTTAGCACGCATACCGACTATTATATTTTCTATTTCAGCTACATCAGTAGGTAGAATGCTGAAGGAGTTACAAGGCTGCCTCTGAAATATGTACTGAGTGTGAGATCTAGGATGAGTAGGCACTTTTGATGCCAGATTATTGCCAATATTGACAAAGAAGTTGTTAACTGCATTGATGGATGTTTGGATATCGTCAGATATCCCCAAAAGCTCATTGGGAGACCGCTTTTCACGACCACAATTGGTTATATCTTTAATTACTTTCCATGTGGCTGCCGGATTGTTCTTGGCTTTTTCCAATTCGCCTCTCTCATAAGATCTCTTTAGTTTTCGAAGAAGTACATTGCAAAAATTACGATAGCGTTTGTAAGTTACTTTCAATATCTCGTTATTAGGAGTTTTATTAAGTTTACTGTGCATTTTATCACGGTTGCGTATGCAGCGAACCAGTCCTGGAGTCATCCACGGCTTAATAATACGAACGTTCCTCGGAACCAAAACAGTTTTTAAGTGTTTCGCCAGGACCCGCTGTAATATGTTGACAAATAAGCGTGCAGCCAGGTCTGCATTTGTCGCTTCCATAACTGAGCTAAAATCTGTGCAATGCAACTCATTAGTTATTGCCGGGTAGTTATAACGTTGAGTGGTATTGGGGAGTGTCCTATAAGATTTATGGAGTAATAAACAAAGACACACAGGCAAGTGGTCAGTGATGTGGGTATCTAATACAATTACTGTCGCGGGTGCCTTAGTTTTTAACAGTACGTGATCTAGGCAATTTCCCAATCTAGTAGGAAGTCGATGCGCCGGAACTAGGCCGAAGGCAGAAATTGCCGTCAGATATTCTTCTGAGTGGCGATCAATATTGCAATGTTTAATATCAACGTTGATATCCCCGACAAGAGCTACATTAGGGAACGATTTCAGCAAGTTTGTTAGTACCTCTAAGTTGTTTAAAAAATTATTAAGATCTTTGTACGACGGGGAGCGATATACAGCGATTATTGCCAATGTATCCGTCGTGCATACCAGGCAATTACCATCCTGAAAAGAAGGTTCAAAAACTCTAACCTGTAAGGACTCTTTGGCATAAATTACTACGCCATCATTTTGTGAATAAATATTAGTAGTATGAAAGGAGTGATAACCCGGTAGCACAGGAGGTTGTCCAGACGTTCTAAGCCAGCACTCAGTAAAAATAATAACATCAAAGTTAACTCCAGTAACCGTAAGCATTGTCATAAACTCGTAAAAGTTCCTTTTTAGGCTCCTTATGTTGATGTGAATTAGCCTAATGCTATCGTTTCGTAAAGGCATGAAGTCGCAACACTTCTCAGCAGGACAAGAGAATGAGTTGGCAATATATATATTATCTAAATCCTTAATAATGTTATCCATAAATTTTTGTTAAAGTAATACAAGAATTCAAATACAAGATTCAAAAACAATACAGCAGTTATTTCGTAGATGAGAATAGTGTGAGCCGCGACAGTTAACGAACTTGGTCTTGTCGTGGCTGTCTCCAAAAATAACAAAGACACAAAATTGCAAAGTGAGGATAAGTTCATAAAATTGACACTGAAATCTAAACAAGTACATCACGTGACATGAAGGACAAGGAATAACAAGTTTGATATTATAGTTACAGTATAAAATTAAAAATAGAGTTACCATTATAGCATGCAAAATTAATTGATCTGTAGGATTCCTATAGTATAGTCATTGTTTCTTAGCTAAAGAAGCGAGGCATCTTTCGGATTTTATGTGTATTGGCTTGCCTTCGGGATTCATTTTAACAAACACCTTTCCGTTTGAGTGCCAACTTTTATAACTGTGTAACAGGGCCCACTGGCGTGTGTCATATAAGAGTTTTTTCTGTGCAGGAGTGAGGTGCTCATCCACATAGATGGGCTTCTTATCACCCGGTAGACCCAATGTAACGGAGTTAAGTTTTTCTTCTTTTGGTAGGTTTTTATTGTATAACCGTGCGGCTGTTAGGAATTCGGTTTTCTTGGTTACTGAAATGAACTCAACCACAAGTGGCCTCACGGAGTCCTCCTTTCCGGGAAGCCGATAAATATCCCTTAAATCAGCCTTATCAATAGTCCTGTTGACGACCTTACCCACCCTCGAGAGCACCGAAACTAGGTCCTCAATTTTTTCGTCCCTCTTATTTGGAATGTTACGTAATTCAACTGTGGCTGAGCGTGATTTAAGATTAAGATCTTGTATTTGTTTTTCTAGAAGTTCAATGCGTTCCGTATTTTCACACTTTTCTCGTTCAAGCTGGGCCAATCTAGATTTCATTTCATCGTAGCTTTGACTCACAAATTCCATACTTGCTTCTATGTCAGTGTTTGTTTTCTGTATCTGGTTGCATTGCGCTTTGAGATCATTTACATCCTTGACAAGCATAGAAAGAGTTGCGTCTTGTTCGGCTTTCCAGGTCGTTAACCTCTGGTCATTTTCGTCTTTCCAGGAGGAGAGCATCCACATAAGCTCAGATTTAAAACTATTTAACTCCTTTGAATATTGCCAGCATTCTTCTTTGTTTGGAGAGTTATCCCTGCGTTGGTGTTTTCTTCTCATAGTAATATTTTTTTCAGGTGTCTTTACGCAGTCTTGAGGACCAGCTAGGTCCGGCTCAGAACCTGACTTTGCCTGGGATGCAGTTGGGGTAGATGGCATGGAGGAAGGTGGAGAACGTAGTACCTTCGGCATGCTGCTCATTCCGTTATACATATAATTATATTTAATCAGAGATACAGTTCAGCTTTCAAGCATAAGTGAGAAATATTGCAAAAACGGACAAAGCAGAGCGAGTCGTCGTAGCGGGCTTAGTTGTACTATGAGTCGGTTTCTCGAAGCGGTTGAAGAAGGGCGTACTAACGTGAAGCTGCGTAGATCTACTAGGTGACGTAAGGTAGTAGCGGGCAGCACGCAGCAGGCACTAGCCCCGTCTCACTCACAAAAACCCCGAGGGGAGACACCTTAT